ACCTCTTATAAGAGTCCCTGTCTTCTAATCTTTTAGGAGATTTTGGATGCCTGTGGTTGGCATGGTAAAAATAGCAGCTGCCATCTCTGTGCCAGGCTAGCTGCTGTGTTTACTTTTCCATATCTTATTCAACTCAGCAGCCCCAAGAGGTAGGTGCTACCTCCAGTCTACATATGGGAAAACAGGCTTCGATGGGCAGCACAATTTGCCCAAGGTCACCCCTGTAGACAGTGGGAGAGGCAGGATTCAAACCCAAGGCTGTCTGACTCAAAGCCTTTGTTTTAAACCACTAAGCTGTATTTTCCATCATCAATGTACTGTTTGGTGTCCTTTTACAGTTGCCATTACTAGCCAGGGACTTAGGTTATCCAGTTGTTATTTGATTGGCAGTGGACTGTCGCACAACGTTGAGGTACCAGAGTTTACTTAACTTATCTCTCCATTTGGTTTGTTTCCAGTTTCTCTGTATTATAGGCAGTGCAGGTGTAAATATCTTTGTGCAAATAAGGGCGGATTCTTGGTTTTATAGGTATTCAATGGTAGTCCTCAAAGTAGGATTGTCTAGCCAAAGGGTTCTAGTTTTATGATCCTCCAAAAAAGCTGTGCCCTTCATTTTCCCATGCAGTGATAATTTTTTTGAGTGCCTACTCTGTACCAGGTGCTGGAGGCAAAGAGGTTATTCAGAAATGGCCCCTCACTCAGGGAACTAACAGTCTGGTGTGGGATGTTATGATGCAACACAGATGAAATGGTACTAAAGTGGGGGTTTGGGCAAGAGACGGTGAGAACACTGAGAAACGTGACCCCAGGCAATATCTGAGTGTCCATTTCCCCCCCGTATCGCAGGGCAGAGCAGAGAGAAGGACGATGAGAGCAGGGCTGCCCAGCAGCTGAGGCCTCGCCCAAGCTTTCCCCAGGTCTGTGGCTGAGCTGCCTCCTGGCTGAGGACACTTCCTCCTTCTGTCCCTTTCCTGCACCTACCACCTGGCCCATCGGAACCTGTCACTACTGCCCATCTGCCAGTAGGGGGAGCCAAGCAGAGAGTAAAGGGAAGGGATATCTGGGGGAAATGGCTTCGGGCTTGAGGAGCGGCGTGAGCGGCCTCAGGATCTGTTGGTCCTCCAGGTCCCTTCTTCCCCTTTAGGTCCCCAGCAGCCAGGGTGACGACACTGTGCCCAATCCCCACTCACTCAGCAGACAAGAAAGTGCACAGAGTGTAAGTGCATATAGTTCAATGCCTTTTTACAACCCAAGTGCTGCACTAGATGCTAGGGACACAGAAATGGGTCCCACATGGTCATCGACCCCGAGGCGCTGTGGTCTACACAGGTGGACAGACAAGGAAAGAGACTGTACAACTTGGCGTGGAGATCTGGATAAGTGGCAACAGGGCATTGAGCAGTGAGTCCCCTGGCAATGTCTGAGAGCCCAGTGCTCTGCTATTGTGACTTTGGCTGTGGCACAGCCTCAGTTTCCTCATCTATAAAATGGAGGGATGAATTTGATACCCTCAAAGGGCCTTCTGACTCAGATATTCTGTGAGCCTGCCTCTTGTTCAGAGAACAAGTCTAAGTTCCTCCCCCAGAAGACCCACTTGGCTTCAGTCACCCCATCTCACTCCTCTTCTCCCCTCCACACTCCACCCCCCTACCCCCATACCACCCCACCCCACCCCACCCCATGGTGTTCTGCCTCCAGCCTTCTCCCTCTTTTGGTCTACATGTGCTTCTATGACTTTGGTTACCATCATGTGCTGATGACACTTATATCTGACGTTCAGCTCCGTCCTCTTCACTGGGTTTGTGACTCATATACAGGCATACCTTGCTTTACTGCGCTTCACAGATATTGTGTTTTCATCAACATGGAGGCTAGACCCTCCACCAGCAAAAAGATTATGACTCACTGAAGGCTCAGATGATGCTTAGCATTTTTTTAGCAATAAAATGTTTTTAAATTAAGGTATGTATACTTTTGGGTATAATGCACACTTAATAGACTACAGTGTAGTGTAAACATAAGTTATATATACTAGGAAACCAAAAAAGTTGTGTGACTCACTTTATTGCTGTGGTCTGGAACCAAACCTGCAATGTCTTTGAGGTGTGCATGTAATAATAAAAATTATCAGCATTTGTGAAATCCCAGATAAGGCACTACTTAAATGATGTCATCTATCCAACAACCTTGTAAAGTAGGCCATGGCACCCCATTTTATAGATGAGTGAAACTGAGTTCAAGAGATACTGAGGCTTGCTCAAGGCCCTGGAATTAATAAGTGTTGAGAGCCAGGATTTGAAAATCTGCGTCTACTGGACTCTAGTGTCCACACTCTTATCCATCACACCATATTTCCCAGAGTGCCTCCAGCCACATAAGAGATATTTCCACTTGGATATTCCACAGATACCTCAATGTCACCATGTCTAAAATTGACCGTATCATTTTCTTACCTTCTCCCCAATCTGCCTTTTCCTCTCTTCTCTATCACAATAATTGGCACCATCAACCCAATGATGTCCAAGCTAGAACTCTGGGAGTCTTTCTAGACCCTTCCTCACCCTTCCTCCCAATATCCAATCTTCTACCACATCCTGGCGATTTTTCCTCCACTTTTTTCCAGCCCCACTGCTATTTTCTTCAAAGGCCACCCATCCTCTTCCCTTTTCAGGTTCCTGCAGCAGTCTCCTATCAGTCTCCCTGCCTTGACTTCCTCTGCTCCAGTCCACCCCCTGTACACTAGTGGGTCAATGTGTACCCTAGTGGATCTTTCTCAAGCACACGTATGATCACATCACTTTTCTGCTTCAAATCTTTCACTGCTTTCTGTGGCTCTGCTGCAGAGCTCAAAGCTGGCCACCCATGGGCTGAAATCCATCCAAGAAGACATGTTTTGTTTGGTCTGTTGAGCATTCTTAAAACATTTCAAATTATTTGCCAACATTTAAAACTCAGGAAATTCCACATGAAAGTTCATATTTCTGGCTTCTCTTGCAAAAGTGAAAAAACTGGCCACTCTGGGCCCACGTCCCTGCAGAACAATGGTTGGATGGAGTTGAGTGGTGGTTGCCCTCTTTAGAAAGGGCATGGACTTACCAGTTGGCCAGTCTCCAGCATCCCCAATGGCCCTTTGTCCCTGGTCACTCCCCTGCTCCCAATTACCTGCCTGAGACTTGAAGTATTTGGGCTCATGACCCAGCAGCACGGAATGAAGGCCAAAGCCCTCACTCAGCCTGTCTCATAAGGTCCTACGTGGCCCAGCTAGGAGCAGACCAGTTCTGCCAACCTCTTGAGTCTTACTTCTGCTTACCACCCCATCACACTCTCCTCTGTGGCCCCAAATCTTGCCCGCACTCTCTGAATTGCTTGATTCCCACTCATGTCTGCATTAGTGCAGGCTGCTGCCTAGACCCTTCCTTAAGTCCCATTTGTCTTTCAGGACTCTGTGTCCCTTCCACCAAGAAGCAGCCCTTGTTCCCACGCTCGCCCCCCTTCCCCCAGGCTGAGTTCTGTCCTCCCATAATATGTGGCACAGACCTTGATCATCGCATCCATCATACTGATTTCTAGTTATTGACTGGCTTGTCTTCCTCACCTGCCAGACCTGTGAGGCTTAGACTGCAGGGGGCCTGTCTTCTTTTTCTTCCTATCCTCAAAGCTTGGTATGGGGCTTGGAATATTACAGGTGCCTTATAGCTGGTGAATGAATGGATGAATCAGTGAAAGACTGACTTGGGAAAATACTACTCCAGGATGTACTGTTGCCATGTACTTGCTTGGGGTGGAGGGTTCCAGGTTCCTTTCATGCTGGAGCACACACCCCCAAGTGTCCACTCAGAGTGACACCCACAACATCCTATAAGCCATCTCCTTGCTCTTGCAAGCTCTGGAATATATCCGGGCCCTCTGGGATGGTGGTTCTTCTTGACTATAGAGGGGAAATATATCATTCTTGCTGTTTCAAGGGAAGGGAGTTATCTAACAATTGGGACATGGCACAGCCATTGAATGTGGCGTATTCTTTAGTTATTTGAATAATAATAATGGTGTGGTAATGATAGCATCTAACACATGTTACACACTGACATTATATCAGATCCCCTTCTAAGAGCTCTCAATATATTACATCCTCTACTTCTCACAACTTTTAAGAAATAGATAGGACTACTATTCCATTATATAGACAAATCAACTGAGACTCGGGGACTTTAAACAACATTTCCAGTGTCACACAGCCAGTAAGAGGTAGAATCCAGACTTGAAACCAAATCTGTGTGACATCAAAGTTAACATTCTCAACCACCACACAATACTTCCTGAATGACATGTCTCTTTTGAAACATTAGGGGGTGATTAAAATAAATGTGGCAATGAAGGATATACAATTTTATATACAGTAAAATTCCAATTAGTAATTTAAAAAGAAAGAAAAGGAGCTCTTAAAGCATAGAGAAGAGAACCAAGGAGACACAACCATGGGTTAGCAGTGGTTGCATTTGGGTAATAGAGTGCTGGGGATGATTTTCTTTTTTTTTCCTGCATTTTGTTTCTACTTTTTAACATTTTATAAATTCCCTTTAATGAGCATGTATTACTTTAAATTACATTTTAACGATATATCTTATTTAACTCAATATATTCAAAATATTATTTCAACATGTAATCATATACAAATTTATTTTACATTCTTTTCATATGCAAAATCAGTGTATATTTTGCACTTACAACATATTTCAATTCTAGTCACATTTTATTTTATTTATTTTACAATCAAGAAAACCCCTCTCTTTATAATGGCCCTGGCATTACATGGCAGAACAGAGGCTTATTGGAGTACCCAACTAATCAGCAGGGCTGTCTCTTAGGTAGCTATCGCTGAGCAGTGAAAGGGGGTAATCAGCAGGTAGCAGCTGTGGCCTCAGCACCTGTACCCTCATGGGGCAAAGGAGCAGAAATGGGTCAACAACTCTGCTGTCTCACCATCTCCTCTTTTCCTCCAGGTGCTTACACCCCAGAGCCCCTCAGCAGTTTCCGGTGGGCCCTCCTCTCAACTGGCCTCATGTTCTTTTATCACTTCAGCGTCTTGCAGATCCTGGGCCTGGTAAGTTTGGTTCTATCCCCTTCTTTCCCCTCTGTTTGGAGTTCTCCATAAATCTTGATAATCCTGGTTGGCGCTGGTGTATCGTTTTGTTTTGAAAATACAAGATGCCAAAGGCCAGGACGTCAGATTGTTGTGTCTGGGTTGCTGATTTATGATCTAGAGCCTTGGCCTCTTTAAAGAGTTTTCTGAATCCTCCAGTAATAACTATTTCTTTCATCCATGAGGAGGCAAGGATGCCTTTCACTCATGGCCACTTGGGTTGGAAACAGTGAGCTGCAATTGGAATGTGGTTTGCTATGGACCCCATGGGGAGGCAGGACGCTAACCCTCACTCTAGGCCTGGGTAAGCTTCTGGCCTAAGGTCCATTCTGTGCCTACTCCCAGGCCCTGAGCTGTGTGACCAATGGAAGCGCAGTGTTGGGGGACCCCCATGGTATTCTGGGGTGTTCAGACCTGCCTGAGCTAGGATGATGGCTGGACACGGTAGTTGGGTTATCCAGAGCCCAAGATTGCTAAGTGCGTGGGTGTCTATTGGTGGCAAAGTGAATAGGAAGAGCTCAGGGCTGGGACTGGAGGTCAGGAGACCCACGTTCTAGTCCTGGCTCTGCCACTGCTCTGGGTGAGCCACCTCATCCTCGAGGGCAGGGAGCTCTCTACCCATCTGTGACATGGTACAAAACTGCTAGCCTCCCTGACAGGCGGTGAGGACTTGTCTTCAATGTGAATGGGCTTCAAAGGCTTCGGAAGGCAGGTGCCATGGCCATCCTCGTGGCGGGAAGGGGCATGTCTGGTTTTGTGTGCGAGCGGCAGTAACGTAGCATTAGTTAGCCTTGTGGAGCCTCGCGGGAACTCGCAGGCCTAGGGCATGTAAGCAATGTCACCAGTGCCTTTGTAGAAGCAGTCACCTTCTCTTCCCCACCCTGGCATATTGTTCTGCTCTGGTTTACCTTGAGGGGCGGTTTGAGATCTTTGCCAAAGGCATGCCTGCTTTCTGCACGATGGGGCTGAAGCAGTATGACTGTCACACCCTTATTCTTATTGCTCTCTACTGGGTCTCCTTGATTCCAGAGGAGTCAGTGTCCTCATGTCACCATGCATACCATGCTCAGTCCTACCTCTGGGCCTGGCTCAGGCCACACCTCCTACAAGGAAGACTCTGCTTACTCCATTCCTCGTTGTGTCCCCCATCCATCCTTCATGAGTCATTTCAGGTGCTACTTCCCTCATGAAATCTTTCCTAAGGACTCAGCCCCCATTCTGCACACTCTTCATATCTCCTGGTGGGGAAAACCCAGTGAGCACCATTTGGTGTGAGGTCAGATGTGGTAGACTGATCACCCCGACTTGATCAGGTGCCAGTTATGCGGAGGCAGGGACCATGCTGTTGACAGCTCTTTTTTCCCCCATAACACCTCTCCGGTGACTAGGCACATAGTAGCTGCTTAGGAATCGCAACGGGCTCTGGGCCCAACCCTGAAGGCAAGACGAGGCAAAACCAGCTTTTCTACTGGACAACCTCCACCATCACCTCTAGCGGGCTCTAGCCTGGACTCATAAAACCTAGGGGAGAAAAATCCTGTTATGAACAGGTAGGGATTTGTCAATCCCTACTTGTCTAGTGCCCCATTAGGTAGAGATGGCTGAACTGGCAGAAGCCAGAGAAAGCCTAAAGATGGTGAACGCTCACTCTACCTCCCTTGTCCCTGCAGGTCACCGAAGTGAATTTGAACAACATGCTGTGTCCGGCCATCTCAGACCCATTCTACGGCCCCTGGTATCGCATCTGGGCCTCGGGACACCAGACTCTCATGACCATGACCCACGGGAAGCTGGTCATCCTGTTCTCATACATGGTTGGGCCCTTGTGTAAATATCTGCTGGATTTGCTCCGGCTTCCAGCCAAGAAAATAGACTGAAGGTGCCTGTTTTTTTTTTTGTTTTGTTTTGTTTTGTTTTTGGTGTTTTTTGTTTGTTTGTTTGTTTGTTTGTTTGTCTCCCTGAGGAAACAAGTTCTGACTTGACTTGGAGAACACCCCGTTGTTAATGAAATCATGGGCGATGGCAGTAAGGTGTTTGGGGTATTCCTTTTTTCCCTTTTCTCTGTCCCTTTCCTCCACAACTCTTCCTCCCCCAGCTCTTCCTCCCCAGACATCTCCTGGAGCCTGGGGTGTAGTGCTGAGGGCTGGATTTTTCCTCTTCCACTTTGCTCTTTCTCCCTGCTCCCAGTGGCCTTATGTGGGGAGACAGTAGTCAGTAGCTTTCACTCTGCTTGTTGGGGCTTTAACAACAGCTGGTTGAGGAGAAAGGGAACAACAAGCAGTAGTTCTTTTGGCAGCAAAGTTGATGAGATTGGTTGTATTTCATTCTTCCACTGCCAGAGACCTCCAGGCTTATGCTGGGGGTCCCCCTTTTGTCTCCAGCATAGCCCCACTATAAGGGGACTGTGGCCTTGTTTTTATACCAGCAGCAAGCGAAGAGCCAAGGGATTTCCCAGTTCATGGCCAAAATAGAACCGGCCAGATTCTTCCCACTAGTGTCTCATGACTCAAAGCAAGCAGCCAACCAGCCACTCCCTTCCAGAGGCTGCCTGCGGTGGGAGGTGGGGCACTACCCGGCCCAAGGGCTAGATTCCATTGAGGGGGATGGAGAGCTGCTGCAATGGCAAATTGAAAGTGAACAAGGTTAAAACGTCCACAACGAATACTAGGCAGGACCCTGGCTATATTCTGCCTGTGAGCGCTAAGAAAGGACTCATATCCCAATCACAAGGAATCATGGAAATTCATAAACAGAAGTGGTAACTTGAGAAAACAGTGATTTGAATCATATGCTCCATTTCAGTTTAATGTTGCTAGTAGATGCCGTTTTCATCTTGAGTACTCCTTTAATGTTCTCCTTTTTAAAGGCAGCTTCAGGGAAGGAGGAACTAGAGGTGTTTTTTTCTTTTTCTTTTTGGGTTTTCTTTATTTGTTTGCTCATTGATTTTTGGATGTTTGAGTTTGGAGAAGCCTTGCGTCAAGGCCTGTCTCGGGAGCGGCTCTTGCTGATGCACTTTGTGGGTTTACAGGCTACATCAGCATCCTGGGTTTGGGAAGATACAGGTCCTGCTGGTGTTGTTTCCCTAGGCTCATCACTGCTGCCAGGCTCAGTGCTGAATTGTTTAGCGTGGGGGACACCACATGCTCCCCAAAGCCCATGTCCTGGGAAGAATCAGGTCCCCATGGGTGGAGGTTCAGGTGCTCCGCAAGGAAGAGCTTTTGTTGAAAGACTTGAACTCAGTCACGCATGGAACTCAAGAAGGGAGGCAGTGGCTGGGCTTTTTCTGACTCCTTGTTAGCTGGTACTAAGAACAGATTTGCTTAAGAACAGAAGAGATGATGGGTTCAGTGACTTCCTCTGGTGGGCCGCCCCTGCCCTCTCCCACTCTAGGCAACCCAGTCGCCCTGGGCCAGTTCCAGTATTTCAGGTGTTACTGTGTGAGACATAGATTGGGCTTCAGTGACTCTGTGATCATGATTTTAGCATACGGACCTACAAGGAGCAGCAGAATGTAGGAGAGTCTCTGAGCAAGGTGAGGCCTGGGGAACCGACCATGGAACTGCCCTATTGCAGAGGCCTGCTGGCACTGAGATGATCAATCTCTGAGGTGTGGGCGAAGAGGAGGGAGAACACCGACTGCTCTTATTCCCCATGAGCTTCTCGTGATGCAGAACCTTCATTTTCTGCTATCTTTGAGGAATTGGCCAAGTTTTTCTTAGTGCCTCTTCCCCTAGGGTTGTCCAGAAGAGGCACCCCTTGAGTGGCTGTATTTGCTCTGCCCACCATGAAACAGCTGCATGTAGGAAAGACTGACAAGGAAATGTGTAAGGCCTCAGTGTCCTGCCGCCTCTTCACAAAGGGAAATGTTGGAAGGAGGTCATGGGTGGAGCCCCTGGGGGGCCTGTCCTGTCCCTACCAGAACATGGAGTCTTTGTAGGCAGATGATCTGTGCCTCAGTTAGGGGCCAGCAGCCTGGGTGGGGCAGACGCTCAGCTTCAGAATGCCGCAGTGGCATAGTGACTCTGCAGGTGCCCTCTCTCCCTGTCTGTGTGGCATGGTACACGTTTCTGGTCAGCCTGAGCGTTCCCTCCATTGGCATGCCTCTCAAAGCTTGACTTTGCTCTGGCTACAGCTCAGTGCCTATTCTGGCTGGCATTTTCTGTTGCTTGGAAGGGAAGAAGCAAGTGAAAGCCAGGTACCTTGCCTGGCCAGGCCAGAAACAGATATACCTGTCAGGGGAAGGGGGAAGTGAAGGAGAGATGCAGGGCTTCTGGGGTCCAGGTTGGCTCAGAACCATGTAGATGAAAGGAACAAAGAGTGCGCCTAGTCCAGAGGCTCCACAGGAGTCATGGCCTGTATTTGAGGTGTTAGGGAGCAGCGTGCATCTGAATTGGTCTGTACCTCACTTTTCCCTTGGGCTAAGTGTTGGGCCAGAACCATGGTAGCCTGCTTTGGAGGGCAGTGCCGGTACCAGCAGCCCTGGGCTTTCCAGCTCCTCCCCAGGGCTTTGCTGTCAGTGCCAAGGTGGTTCCCTTAACCACCCTGGCCAAGTTTCCATATGTCATTTGCCAGCGTGTGTGGGTGCTTAGTGTGTGTCCCAGAGAAAGAAGTGGGCAGTTTCTTTAAAAACAGCCCCAGGAAGGGAAAGGAATGCTCTCTCAAGCCCCCAGGTAGCCGTGGCCAAGGACATGGGCCAGTGACAACAGTCTGTTCAGCCGGCAGCAGCTCAGAATAGCAGAAAGATGGTCATGCCTGTTTGTAGTCCCAGTATTTGATTTTGTACACCAAAGATGATCTGGCCCATCTTCCTGGAGGCCCAGTGACGTGTACCTCTCTGTCAGCTTGTGAGGAAGGCATGGCCTCTGTGTCCCCCAGACACTATTCTCTCTTTCTCCTTGAACTTTTCAGCATTCACAAAAGCTGCTTGCAGGGTGGTCGGGATAAGTGGCGCAGTTGGCATACTTGACCGTCCGGTATCTCAAGTCCAGCTATCAGATCATCCCTTTTGCTGCAGCCTTGGCCAGGGCTTTGCTATTTGTGTTTGTTGAGAATCCAGTGTTTTGGGGAGTGGCCACAAGTCCCCACAGATAACAAGTTGTCAGCTGGTCTCTGTGTACTGGTGTTGGGGCTGAGCGCCCCAGGAGTGAGCTGGGTGGCTAGTGGTGGCAGAAGGCCCTTCCTCCTGCTCCCTTGGCCAGAATGACTTCCCCAGATCTGTAGATGTTGGTCCAGAGTCATCTGTCCTCTTTGGGAGACTGAAGGGGAGGTGGGGGTGGAGCCGAGAAGGAGTGACACCGCAGGCTAAGACACAGGCGTGGTGTTGGCTTTGGTCAGTCCCGAACAGACATAAAGGAGGGGTTCCTGCAGGCCCTCAAGTACTCGTTGGGAAGGCTCCAGACTGGAAGGGGCCTCCCTGCTGCATGCCTGGCCCTGCCTCTCCCTCTGGGAGGTGGTCGAGTCCCTGACAAGGAGTGAGCCTTCCTCTTCTGTATATAGACTGAGCCAATTTGTGCTCAGGAAAACGTAGTCGCTTGTTGTTGCTCTTGTCTGTGACATTTTTGTACAGTGGTTTGCTACTCAGTGGCATAAAACAAAAGTCAGTTTAAGCAAAGCTGTTTTGGAAACTTGCTTTCTTTCGGTGTCAGTTTTGTATTATATTTTAAAGAATTCTTCATTTATATTGGTGTTATTGTGGTGGAGAGGTTAAGATAGTCTGATCTGTAATTACTTCTGCCAGGAACTTGGCAAATGCCTCTGTCCCTCTCGCCCCTACCCCCATCTTTTCTCATTTCCAAGGCATGCCCTGGGCAGAACCCTTCCTGTCGCCCCTCCCCGCCAGTGGCTCCCTTTAGGACCAGTCTTTGTAATCCCCCTAAACAACAGCAGGGTATTTTTGCCAAGCTGGTTCTTGGGTGCTCTGTGTCTCCACCGGTTTGCTCACCTCTTGGAGCATTTTGTAATATGTTTTCCCTGTTTTCTAAAACTTTTTGATTGTACCAAAATGGTTTCTGCGGTCACCTTTGGAAATAAATGGTCATTAATTTGTGTATTTAGCATTCTGAATTTTAGTCTTAGGTGTTTCTGTTGTTGAAGATTCCTGAATGAAAAGGAACCCTCACCATGGGACTTCTCGTTCCAATGTTTTCTTCATTTACTGTTATTTAAACACATTTAGGAGAACCCAGGAGTCTTGGCCTTGCTTCCCAGAACCCTCTCAGAAGGCCCTCTGCCTTAAAGAGTAGACAAAAGGGGCCACTGCTTCCCCCACACCGTGGAGAGGACCACCAAAGGGGGGGCTGGTGCTCTCAGCACAGCTCTGCCCTGGGAGCGCTGTGGCCTTGAATTCTCACATGCTGCCTGCTTCTGCCAGGGCTGCCTGGGCCGCAGCGGGCCTTTTCGCTTAGCAGGGATTGTCTGCTGGGGGCATCTGCTGAACTCGCGGGGCCCACAGTGTGGGGGGCCCAGGCTCGATGACTGAGCTAGAGAAGTCAACTTTGACACCGACCAAGTTCAGGCCCACTCATCTCAAGTTCCCTGAGGACCCGCTGTGTGCCAGCACTGTTTGACACAGGCCTGTGCCCAGGACAGATCAGACTCTCCTATGGGGAGGAGTGAGCAAGATAACCCTGCACTTTGGGCGCAGTCAGACCTGCCTTTCCAAGGCTACCCACGGAGCCGCCCATCATGACTGTGATTAGCCTGGCCTGCCTTTATAGCAGACAGAGGCGCTCCTTGGTGTTTTGTTGATGCTACTGCTTCTAGAAGGGACACAGCTAGCCAAAGTAGCTCCAGTGCAGGTAGATCTCCTCATTGGCCAGAAGTTGGGCACCGAGGCAGGACCCTGAGATCCTGCGCCACAAATTCACCAGCTAGGGCAAGTCATTTGTTCTCCAGCTCCCCCCCAGGTTTTCCTTCCATCTGCAAAGCAATAGCTACAGCTGTGTACCAGGTAGAATGCTAAATCCTTCCACACATAGTACCTCCTGTGATCCCCACAAAAGCACAGTGAGCTCACTGGTAATGCTGTCTCCACCTGACAGGCAGAAACCGAGAACATTGAGGCTCAGAGCTAATAAATGGAGGAGCTAGGATGCGAAGCCAGTTTGTTAGACTCCAAATCCTGTGTGCTTTATACTTACCCTCAGACTCCATGGCCTGCCTGAGCCGGCTGCTGGGGTTACTGGGCAGACCTCGCCCAGGGCCCCCAGCCCCGAGAGAAATGCGAGGAGAGCTGGGCAGTGAGCTAGGTGACATCCATGACTGCATGACACAGAGGTGTCAAGCCCATGTTATTTTCAGCTGCCAGCAGGCCTGATACTGGCAAGCTTCAGAGCAGAGCTGAAAGGTGTCGGAGTTGGGGTGGGGATGCAAGGGGCCAGGCTTGCTGGCCTGGTGGTGGTGGCGGGGGGACGGGGGAAGAAAGATGGCAAGTGGATGCTGGAGGGAGTCCAGGAAAGTCGGGCCCATGATTTTTCTATGTGTCTGCTTTGTCAAGAAGAGCTAAATACCAATGACTTAGGCTATGGCTTCTGCCTTTGTCTCTGCTCCAGTGGGGGTCCCCCTTCTGCAGGAAATGATCTTTCAAATGCAAATCTGACCGCATCATTTCCTTGGGCTCTATGAAGAACTAGGCTTTGTCTCCTCATCCCCAGGCCCCCAAGAACCATACACTGGGATGTCCTCCTTCATTGTGCTCATGGCATATCGTACTCCATTTTATCATGCCACACCCTTTCCCTCCATTTTCTGCTATGTTGCCTTTCTCTTTGTGCTGTTTTCTCAGCTCCTCGCTCTTCCTTCCTGTCCAAAGGCCTCAGGTTCAAGTATCAGCTCCTGTGTGTGGTCTTCCCTGAGCCCAAGTCACCTTAGGTTCCTCTCCACTTGACTCCCAGATCGCCTGGCGCTCACACCTGGGCCACCATGTGCCCCCTATTGTGGAGTCCCTTAGGTTTTCCCTCTGTAGACATTGAGCTCCTTGAGGGCAGGGCGGGGTCTGATCTATCCTCCAGCCCCCCGGCACAGAGCCTGCTTCGCAGAAGGTGCTCAGTGAACAGTGATCTTATCTTGGAGTGCTGTGAAATGGTGGGAGGCACCACTGTGACCTGAGGGAAACTCCTTGGCCACATAGCTATCATCCATCCTGTGAGCTCTGAGTGGGCATGTGCCTCTGTTTGCATAGGTACCTCCAGCTCCAGCCTCTTGGCCTCCTTGCTGAGGGGCCCATCCTACTTCTCTGCAGGGCTCTCTGTTGTTGGGATCCTGGATGAGAAGGCGGTGATGGGAAGGAAGAGAACTGAGACGATGTTTCCCATGACTCTTCCCCAGACCTCTGGGCAGGGGGTGAGCAAGGAACCCACCTGCTTTTCCGTATCCTTGCCTCATCCCCACCAGGTACATCCCCACCAGGGTCACCCCTCCGTTCCTCAGGGCACAGAGATTTGGTGTTTGCATGGAAAAGCCCCACCAGCCCATGAATGCATCGCCTACCACTTGGAGGGGTAGGAAGCAGCTTGGGATGGTTATGCCCTGATCCCCCAGTGAGTTTTTCCCTTGTCCTGGTTTGCCAAGTCCAGTGAAGGAACAGAGATACAGAAATGTCAGTCTGACAAATGCAATGGCTTTTTCAAAGAATATGTGGTTTGCTAACCTTGGCAACAGGCAAGGCTGGCCTAGTCCGAAGTCAAGGACTCTGTTACTGCCTCTATCTGCCCCTCTCCCAGTCAGCATTTGCCCAGCATCTAGAATGCACATCTGGGATGTCTGAGCTGCTTGGCAAAGGGGTCTCAGTATCTCCCAGGGAAGCAGTAGGGAAGACTGCTCCGGTTGCTAATGGATAGCCCAAAGAGCTTTGTCCTCCTCAGATGACTTCCTAACTTCTGCGCAGCTCCTCCTGCATTTCAGCCAGCCAGTACAACGAGGCAGGTGTTAGCAAGGAGGGTGGATGCTTCCTTGACATATCTCTGATAGGTGACAGGGCCCGTAGCATAGCCGCAGAGGTGTTCTCCGTTCCAACCCCTGCCCAGCTGCACCTCTGCTCCAACTGCCAGTTCGCCCTGGTCTCTTCTGCCTCTCCCCTCCCCATCGGAGGGGCCTGCAGAGCTGCTGCCTGCTATTGCTGTCCCTTCAGCTGTGCCTTCCCCTTCCCTAATTGCCAGGGGCCCCAATCGCTTTGCTATTTCCTTTTTAGAAAGACCCTGGGTTCTCTAGTATTCTGGTCCCTAAGAATGGAGCGGCCTTCCTGTGTGCTCCAGGTCATACCCTCAGATTTCTGAAATGTTGGAGCTGACAAGATACTGCTCATACAGGCGCTCGTAAATTTACCTGCATATTAGAATCACCTGGGGAGCTTTCAAAACAGTTTCCCTGTCTAGGCCTCACCCAAGCTCATAATTCAAAGACAACTTTGTTTTGTTTTTACTTTAAGTTTCCAGGTTGTGAGTCATCCCTTTGACCTGACCATCTGCACCAGTGCCTTTTTTAAATGAAAATGTTAAGACATAGGTATAACAAAAGGTATAAAGACTAATATCTAAATCCAGGTTCAGAAAAAGAATATTACCAATACAGTTGAAGCCCCCTTACTTCACAGGTTTGGAAATTGTTCCCGGGAGCATCAGGTAGCCTGGGGAGGTGCCTTCTGGGCCACTTGGGATGAGGGATGGGTGCGGGCAGTGTGGTTGGGGGTCTCGCCTTTACCCTTGATTTACCCAGAACAAAACCCATTTTATTCTCTTTTGTACATTGAAGGTGTGTAAATAATTTCATTGGGAAAAGGGTTTAAAAGCCACGTATGTACAACCTTACCAGTTCTGTCTCCACCCTCTCCTAGATAGTGGTCGTGGTGTAGTAGTTGAAAAAGCATGGGGCCGGCTGAGTGGCTCAGTTGGTTAAGAGCTCGCTCAAGAGTTTGAGCTCTGAGCAACAGCGGTTCAATTCCCGGCCCAAGCTGAGCAGCCGCTGAGCTGCCAACACGTAGCAGGATGGCTCAGCTTAAAAAAAAATTTTTAAAAAGGAAAAGCTTGGCGGTCAGACTGCAGATGGGGCCTGCAGTCCCAGTTCTCCATTCCTCTCTGAAGTCCTGGCACCCTTGGCCAAGTCATAGTTCTCTGAATGCCAGGGCAGCTGTGAAACATTTGGTGAGATAAATGGGTGTGAGAGGGCTTTCTGAGCCATAAAGTCCTAAGGGAGTCCTATTTCTAGGCAGTGTGGTTCACTGTGTTTGTTCTCAGAGCCCAGAGGTTAGTTGGAGTTTTGAACTATACTTACCCACTGTGCCTTAATGTGCCCTGTGTGGTTGGAGTCTGTGGGGGTGTGGAGGATAGGTGATACCTCACTCTTAAGGGGTTTTTCTGTATTTCATTGACTCTATGACCTTTTTTTTTACATTTTAACATCTCTAAATTTGGGGTGCATCATTCAAGCAATGGCATGACATAGTTTAATCAGCAACTTATTTTTCTTCCCCCCCCTCTCCCGGTACATAAAGTAGTGGACATTGTACAATCTAAGGCATCTTAAAGTCATTGAAATGCCATAATTGTTACCTTTGTTTCCTGTTCCTTTTCCCCATGAGAGTCACCCAACTGGAACAGAAAACCCCTCTGGAAAAACTTATAAACAAACTTTTAGTATATAGCTTCATTTTAATACTCTATCCTCTTTCTTCCCTGCCAGCATCTACCAGGGGCCAGGCAAGTTTCTGCTTCCTGATCAGCGGGGAGCCCACTTTGTTGAATTGTCTCTTGGGGCACATGGTTTGTGGGACATTAGAGGAAAAAGGCAGAGCATACCTGTATAAGAAAGCCCACCATGCCAACTACAATGAAGGGAGACAGGGAAGGAGGAAACCAGAAAGAGGGTTGGGGAGGGAGCCAGCCAAGCCAGGCCAGCCATCTCCAACAGCTCTGGGTTCTTTATTTCCCAGCTATAGCCTGGCCAGACATCTCAGCCTGCTTCCCCAGGGAACTCCCAGAGCCAGTCATTGCCAGAGGTGAGCTGGCAGGGGAGCAGGGGAAGGGGGCCCAGCCTGACGTGAACTCCTTGGGTTGACCTGAGTGGCTCTC